AAGATATAAGCTCATCCCGATGTTACGCTTATCAAGAGCTTTCATTTGAATACCCACATGCATTTTTTATATATTTTTCATATGTACATATATATAATATATGTAAGTATATAAAATATATGAAAAAATTGATGTGGGTACTCAAATGAACGGTCTTGATGAATGTAACATTAGGATGAGCTTATATCTTTAAAAATGTCAACAGTTCACAAGATACAAAGTCATTTCTTAATTATGTATCTAGAGACAGAGTATTTTTGAATGTAGCCTAAATACTTATCATAATAAATTGATTATAATAAAGATTAATCCTTCATCAGACATATTCTAATTATTCAAAATTTGAATAAATTATTTGGATTTTAAATGATTGTCTGTTCATTTTTAAATAAATATATAACAAATAATAATTAGTTTTGACTTTAATTAAATTAAAAAAATTTTTAAACCTCTAAAAATTTTTCATAAAAAAAAATTAATTATTTTTGATAGCTTCAAAATTTCTAGATAATATTTATAAAATTTTTGTTCTGATATCTAAACATTAATTTCCTTAATTTTTAAATTATAATTGACTGTTATTTTTTAATTAAATCTTTAATTATTACCATCGCGTGAAAGTGATTAATTAAAAAAAACAAAAATGTTAAATAAATTTTTTCTATTTATTTTTAGTAATAAAAAATTAATTTAAATTATCTTTTAAAATTAAAATTATTTTAAAGGAATTGCTGGGCTTGGACGTGATGCACAAATTTATGTGGGTGAGACTAATAGCCCGAATGTTCGAAGCGATGGCAGGGAACTTTGCCTACTCTGGAGACATCCACCTGTTCCTGAACGTCCTAAACGGAGCAATAATCCTCCACAGTGAAGATTCCTGCATCTTGCGCTACGTAGTAGCGACTTACATAAACGCGGCTCACAATTTCAAGAACATATTCTCGACAAACGGGTATTTATTGATAATGCCGACTTTATTGCAACTGTACTCGACTCACCAGACCAACAAGCTGGTCACCACGACCGTCGAGTACGCAGTCAAGCAGTTTTACCTGATGAACCGCAAGCCTTTCATCCTCCAGATGTTCGGCAGCGTTTCCACTATTCTGGACACTGACGAGACCAGCACTCACGGGGAAGCTCACAAGGTCCCTTCTATATGCCTCTTCAACCTCCTGATGAGCTTAGAGACACCCTCGCCCGACCCGCTCAACATCGGCGAGCTTGTCAAGGAGGAAAAACCTCTCAAGGCTATTGATTTTTGCTATCATGATGAAACAGAAATGGTTTCTGTCCTAGATTGCATCTCGCTTTGTGTTATGGTGATTGCTTATGCAGCTGATTCTATTCGCGGACAACAAATGTTGGTAAGAAATAAATAATTTAACAAATTATTAGTTAATTAATAATTAAAGCAAGAAATTTTGCATTTTAGATATTAATTAATTTTTGACATTACGGCAAAAATATTGAGGAATAAAAAGTGTTCAAAATTTTATTTTATACAAAAAATTTGTCATTTTTTATACAAACAATATTTTTAATGTAATATCACAAGTTAAGATTCATAATTAATAAGCTATCTTGCAGTCACTACGTGACTGCAAATTTGTGAATTATAAATAAATAAAATTTTGCATTATTGAATAATGACTTTTGTTAAATTGCACTATACTTCCTTAACTATTAATGTTTTCAAAAATATAAGATCATCTTGATGTCATATTCATCAAGAGCTTTCATTTGAATACCCACATGTATTTTTGATATATTTTTCATATATTCATATATATAATATATATTTTAAAGATATAAGCTCATCCTGATTATACACTCATCAAGAGCGTTCATTTAAATATCCACATGCAATTTTATGTATTTTTCATATATACATAATATATATATAATATATAAATATATAAAAAATTGATGTGGGTACTCAAATAAAAGCTCTCGATGAGTGTAACATCAGGATGAGGTTATATCTTGAAAAATGTCAATAGTTCTCAAGGTACAAGGTTATTTCTTAATTACTGTCTTTTTTATAGATATATAAGCTCATCCCAGTGTTACACTCATCAAGAGCTTTTATTTGAGTACCCACATGCATTTTTAATATATTTTTCATATATACATATATATAGTATATATAAATATATAAAATATATGAAAAATTGATGTGGGTACTCAAATGAAAGCTCTTGATGAATATAATGTCGGAATGAGCTTATATCTTTAAAAATTTCAATAGTTTTCAACATACAAGGATATTTCTTAATTACAGTCTTTTTTATAGATATATAAGCTTATCCCGATGTTACACTCATCAAGAGCTTTCATTTGAGTACCCACACGCATTTTGATATATTTTTTATATATTCATATATA